TTCAACTTTTCAGCAATATAAAACTACTGATAAAATATTTTAAGTCTTTTGTATTATATATGGTACTAAATCTTTGACCTTACAAGACATTTCAATACAGATTCTGAATTTTAATTGAAAATTCTTAATCTGTATTTAGATTTTATTATATTTACAGGTGAAAAAGTAGATTCACATACCCAAGTTGTTTCAAACACAATAAAAACTTTCCCAATAACTGAACCAAGTATTAGTTTTTTAAATTTAAACTAAATAAAGTTAAATAAAGTTAAAAATTCAGTTCTTCAGTCACACCAGCACATTTTAAGTGCTCAAAAACCACATTAACTAGGGGCTATCATATTAGAAAGGTCAAGTATATAAATTGGCAATGATATACTGGACCATTAAAAAAAAGAGTTGTTCACATTAGATTAAAGTGAACTACTACTCTGTTGTAAAAGCAAGCTACATAATAATGGGAGAAATTATTTGCAAACCATTAATCTGGTAAAGGGTTAATTTCCAAAATATATAAAGAACTTCTACAACTCAATAGCAAAAAAATAAAAAATAAAAAACAACCCATAATAACACAATAACTCAATTTAAAAATGGGCTAAGGGCTTGAATAAACAGTTCTCCAAAGAAGACAGATAAATAGCCAACAGATATTTGAAAAAAATATTCATTATCACTAACCATCAAGGAAATGCAAATCAAAACCATGATATGACCTCATACCTGTCAGGATGGATATTACTGAATAAACAAAAGAAAAAGCATTGGCAAAGATACGGAGATATTGGAACCCTGGCACACCATTGGCAGGAGTACAGAATGGTACAGCCACTATGGAAAACAGTATAGAGGTTTTTTGAAAAATTAAAATTAGAACTACCCTATGATCCAGCAATCCCACTTCTAGGTAAGGATTCTCAAAGCTGTATTAGTACTCCTACATTCAGCACTATTCACAATAGCCAATATGTGGATCGAACCTAAATGTCCATCAGCAGATGACTGAATAAAGAAAATGTGGTATATACATACAATACTATTCAGCCTTAAAAAAGAAGGAAATTTTTGTTATAAATACACAGCTACATGGATGAAACTTGAGAACATCATGCTATGTGGTAACACATAATCACTTAAGCCAGTCACAGAAAAAAAGATACTACAAAATTCTACTTGTGTGAGGTATCTAAAATAGTCAAATTCATAGAATCAAAGGTAGAATGATGATTTCCAGGGGCTGAGGGGAGAGAGAGATGGGGAGTTGCTGATCAACAGGCATGAAGTTTCAGTTAAGCAAGATGACTAAGCTCTAGAGATCTGCTGTACAGCATTTTACCTGTAGTTTATCTAAAAATTTGTTAAGATGGTAGATCTCATGTTAAATGTTCTTATGACAATAAAATTTTTTAAACCTTAAATTCTATTTGCTTCATAATAATTTGAAGCTACTTCTTTTTTGTTTTATTTTATTTTTAATTGACACATAATTGTACACACTTATAGGGTACGGTGTGATGTTTTGATATATGTATACAATACATAATGATCAAATTAGTGTAATTAGCATATCCATCACCCCAAACATTTATCATTTCCTTGTGGTGAGAACATTTAAAATCCTTTTAGTGATTTTGAAACATACAGTATATTATTGTTAACTGCAATCACCCTACTGTGCAATGGAACACTAGAACTTACTCCTCCTACCTAACTGTAACTTTCTACCCCTTGACCAGCTGTCCCCCATCCTCCCCACCCATCTTCCCAGCCTCTGGTAACCACTATTATACTCTTCACTTCTATGAGATCAACTTTTTTAGATTCCATAAGAGAGTGAGATCATGCAGTATTTGTCTTTCTGTGCCTAGCTATTTTTAATTTTTTGAGGAGCCTCCATGCTGTTTTTCATACTGTCTACACTACTTTACATTCCCACCAACAGTGTACGAGAGTTCCCCTTTCTCTGCCTCCTCACCAGCATCTGTTATTTTTTTGTCTTGTTGATAATAGCCGTTCTAACTGGGATTAAATGATATCTCCTATCTCCCCTTCTCCGATAATTGATTCACCTCTTTATTTTCTAAGACAGACTATAAATAGGAGGAAGAGGAGCAAGTGTCAAAATTATGGGTGAATGAAAATTTCCCTACGAGGTAAAATGAGGACCAACGTAGGGAATCAAACTTCCTATGTCTTGCTCCTTCTGTCCTTCATTTATGGCGTGCTATCATAAAAAGAGCACAGGACTTAGATGCCAATTTTTTGAGTTGAGGTCCTGGCTTTGCAACTCCTAGTTGTAGAACCTTGGGGAAGTCATTTGACTTTTATGAGGGTTTGTTGCCTCTTCTGTAAAGTGAGAACCTGTTGTCTCAATCTCAAAGCGCTGTCATAAGAATCAAATAGATTAGAGTATCAATACAAGGACTTATTATAAGGTCTTTGAACAGACATAAACTCTAAAAAGCATTCCAAAAGTAAGAACAATTTCTTCTGATGCTTTGAACATTTAAAATAGAGCCAGACTATTAATGACATATTAGAGAGGCAGCTTGGGTTCTGGAGTTGGGAAACCCAGTTTGAAATCCTCCTAGTTGCATGATCAGCAAATATTTAATTTCTGTGACCCTCTGTTACTTCATTTATAAAATAATGTTTGTTGTAAGATTTAATGGTATATATAAGCAGCCCAGTGAAGTGTCTGGCATGTAACAGGCAATTAATAATTGACAATTGTTGATGTAGTAATTTTTTTTAATGTACATTTTCAAATTAGCTAAACAGGACAGTCAAAACCTGAGTACTGTCTGTTAAACCCTAAATACTGGCCATGCCCAAATATCTTTTATGAAAAAAGCAGCCTTTTAAAGGGGATTTCTTCTGCAAAAGTTTTTAAATCTTTGTGACATATATGCCAAACAAAGCCAACCCAATACGCTGGCTTAGAAAGGTCATTTATAAGCCAGCTGGGCATAAGAGAGGTCAACTTTCTTGAGGTAGGTTGGAATAAAACTCTGACCAATAGCATTGTTTTATCATGGATGGTACCAAACAAAACCCACGGAGGTTTGTTATTCTTGGGCAGTTTAAACACCAGATGCACAGAGCTCAGGTTGTCCCTGAATGAGTCTGAGACACTCTTGGAATCTATGTTGATCCTGCTGTACACCTCACTCTCAGAAGCTCTGGGACACTGAGTGACAACCCGACCCTTAGATTAGTGTTCCTCCTTACTTCCTCACGGACGCCTCAATAACCCTGATAACCAGAGTGTGTGTTTCTTCTTTGCTTAACAAATATACTCACCTTTATTGCTAAAATCTACACTAAGTTGTGAAGGATTATTTGCTATGTGTTTGTTTGTTTATTTATTTTTCTGAGACAGAGTCTCGCTCTGTTACCCAGGCTAGAGTGCTGTGGCATCAGCCTAGCTCACAGCAACCTCAAACTCCTGGGCTCAAGCGATCCTCCTGCCTCAACCTCTCAAGTAGCTGGGACTACAGGCGCACACCACCACACCTGTCTAATTTTTTCTATTTTTAGTAGAGACAGGGTCT